AAAAGGACCATGCCACCTCTACGATACGCAATGATTGGCTGCCATTCGTGGAGAAGCAAGCGGAATGTGTGGTGAAGCGGATTAGGACAGATCGGGGTGGTGAGTTCCTTGGAGCTGAGATGACGGCCTGGCTCAAGAAGCAGGGCATCCAGAGGAAGCTGACCACGGCTTACACCCCACAGTCCAACGGTGTAGCAGAACGGGCGAACCGGACAATTCTGGAGACAGCTAGGGCGCTGCTCATAGAATCTGGGCTGGGCAACTCGATGGGCCCCATGCTGTTCGACACGCTACCGTCGCTAGGAACAGGGTACTCACAAAGGTTGGGGATGACTCGTGGGTGCCGTTGGAGAGGTGGCTTGGGAGGAAGCCGCCAGTGGACATGCTGAGGGTGTTCGGTTGCATGGTAATCGCCCACGTCCCCAAGACATACAGCAGTAAGTTGGGGGCAAGTGCAATCTGGTGTGTGCATTTGGGGTTGGCTGCTGAGAGCAAGGGATAGCTGCTGTGGGAACCATCCAAGGGTGTGTTGTTTGACAGCAGGGATGTGAAGTTTGTTGAGGGCATGATGTATGGGAGCTGGGAGAAACAGCCGGAGGCCAGGGTGTCCCAGCAAATGGAGCAGATCACCATGCAGCTGGACCTGACTCCTAGTGTGGGAGGAGGGAGAGGAGGCAGCTGCAGAGGGTGGTGATGGAGAGAAGGTGCAGGAGGGACCTGCCGGTGAAAACAATGGTGTGGAGACTAGCCGTAGCACTAGTGGAGCTGCTGGATCCGAGGGAGGAGAGCAGCAGCAGGGGAAAACTAAGAAGCCGAAGGGTGTTGTAATGAAGGGATGGGAGACACCCATCTCCAGGCCAGGACGTACCCGTATGGCTACGAAGAAGTTGACTTCAATAGCTGATGTAGCAGAGCAGCAGCTTGGGACAGAGGAGGCATTGCTGATTCTACCTCATGGCTATGACCCGGATGAGGAGGATGAACCTGCCTACTGTTTTCTTGCCCCTGCACCAGAGGAACCAGCTAGCATGGAGGAGGCATTAGCTGGACCAGATAGGGAGAAGTGGCTGGTTTGTAGGGATGCTGAGTACCAGAGCCTGCTAGAGAATGGGACATGGGATCTGGTGGTGCTGCCTGATGGGAAGAAAGCTGTACAGTGCAAGTGGGTGCTAAGGATCAAGACCGATGACAAGGGACGGGTCACCATCTACAAGAGTAGGCTGGTGGCTAAGGGGTTTATGCAGAAGGAGAAGCGGGACTTCAATGAGATTTTTGCTCCCACTGCCAAACCCCCTACCCTTCGTGTCTTGTTGGCAGATGCAACCGTTAGTGGGAAATGCATCATTCAGACGGATATATCAACAGCATTCCTCAATGGGATTTTAGAGGAGGATGTGTACATGACGCAGCCGCCTGGGTATGAGGATGGTACAGGCAGGGTGTGCAAGCTGAAAAACTCCATCTACGGCTTGAAGCAGGTGCCCCGCTGCTGGTACCAGAAGTTGGCAGCGGTTTTAGAGGAGATGGGATTCAGGACCAGCAGCTGTGATGAGAGCCTCTTTCTCAAGGGGGAGGGGGAGAAGCTGGTGCTGTTTCTGGTCTATGTGGACGACATTCTTCTCTTTAGCAGCAGCATGAAGGACATCCAGAATGTGCAGCAGCAGCTGATGGAGGACTTCAATTGCAAGAACCTTGGGGAGGTAGAGTACTACCTCGGGATGCACGTGGAGAGGGATCTCGATCACAGGTCGTTGAAGCTGTACCATGAGAAGTTCATCAAGGAGTTGGGAGAGAAGTATGGGATTGAGAATGAGCGCAAGGTTGCAACTCCCCTGCTAGCAGAATTCAAGCTTGTGAAATCTGCAGAGGATGAAGGGGTTGAAGCCGAGGCGCAGCAGCAATTTCTGTCCTTGGTGGGCAGCCTCTTGTATGCAGCAGTTCACACAAGGCCCGACATCTCTTTCTCGGTAGGGCAGCTGGCTAGGGTGGTGCAGAATCCATCAGAGGAGCAGGTGGATGCAGCTGAGCATGTGGTGAAGTATCTGAACTCTCACCCAAGCATTGGAGTTCAATACTCCGCATCTGCACAGGTGAAGCAGAAAGGGGTTGAGGTGCTGAAAGAGAAAGGGAAGCGGCTTGGAGAAGGCAAGCTGTTTCTCACTTGCTTTACTGATGCTACGTGGGCCTTGAGAAGGAGGACTCCTCATCTGTAGGAGGATACATCTGCGTATCTGGGAGTGGACCTGTTAGATGGAGGTCAAAGAAGCAAACTGAGACGGCACTCCCGTGGAATCAGAGTACATGGCGATGTTCCATGGTGTGAAGGAAGTGATTTGGCTGTGGAGGCTGTTAGAGGAGATTGGCCAGGAGCAGAAGGTTGCTACGCCGCTGTTTTGTGATAGCAAGGGGGCTCTTGGGATGGCCAGGAACGCTGTGCTTCATGGGCTGAAGAAGCATATGCGTATCAGGTAGCACTGGCTGCATAAGGAGGTGAAGAGGGGGACGGTGAATCCGATCTACATCAAGACTCACCAGCAGCCAGCAGACTTCCTCACCAAGAGGCTTGCGGATGAGCCACATTGGCGTTGTGTGCGCATGAGTGGAATGAGCATGAACTAGCATGGAATGATGGGGATGCAGCCGGCAGGCTGAGAGGGAGTGTGTTGGGTGCAAATTCACATTGCACGACATCTTGTCGTCTGTTTGTATGAGTATGCATGTGCGAATGCATTTGGGTGTGAATGGAATGTTCGTGTGTTTGTTTGCTTTCGCAATTTTCGCTTGAAGCATTTGTAGGTACTCGCGCGTTGTGCGCTTCGGCACAACATTGTACGCGCTATGAACAGTACAAGCAGAAAGGACGAGCTCGCAAACAAACCCAAGATGGAAGCTTTGCGGTTCGGTCGAATTGATTGTGCAGATTCAGTTCTATCCAACTCGAAATTGTACTGTTTTGTTTGGTTGACTATAGTGTAGTAGGGCAGGGCACTATAGGGGTACAATTTAGGTGAAGGTTGGATGTTGTTTGTCTATATCTGCATGCTACAGGGCCAGGGGAAACCAGCGGAACCAGCATTTGGCTGGTTGGGCAAAGACAAAACAGGTTCTGTTTTTAGGACCTGAAACTGGTTGTTGTTTTCCCAGGTTGGAAAAACAGAACCAGAGGTTGTTCACCAACCTACCACCTGCTATTTTGTCTAGCCAGGTTGGTTCTGTTGCTTGGAATTATTTGGGATGATCCCTGGTTGTTCCCAGGTTCATTCCCAAGGTCCTTGCTAGCTAGAACTATTTATTCCTTCTCTGTTTGTACCTGGATATAATCAATTTGATTCAAGCGAATTCCTCCCTTCCTGGAAATTTGTCTCTACGCGATGCGACAAGCGGAATGCTACTCGAGTCAACGCCAGTACGCTAGCACTCCAACACTAGGCAAACGCTGTCCGAGCCATAACTTCGTAATGGCATAAGTTTTCGCGGGGCAACTTGCCTCATTTTAAAGCTCTTGGAGCGCGCTTCGATTTAGGAAGTTCTCTGCTTAATCCGATCGACGGTCTGCATGATACGTTGCGCGAGGTTCAAGGTACTCTTGCTGTTTCGACTTAGTCCCTCTTGATCCCTCTCTCTACAAACTCGGACCCGAGGATAGGGGCTGGTCTTGTAACCGGCACCCAAGGACCCTTGGAGTTGATCCCGAGGAGAGGTTTTAAGTCTGATAAAGTCTTAATAGCTTGAGTTTATTAAGCCCTCACACCAACAGGTTGGAGGTAGGAGAGGGAAGTTAGGTTGGAATTCTGTGGAGGAGTTGTTTTGTGGGAAGGTCTGAGAGCGCGTGGAAGTTGATGTTGGTGAGGGCGGTGACAAAGAGCATGGTTTTGTCGGAAAGGAGATGGCAGTGACACATGGAGGAGTTTGAGGAAGGGAGCGGAAGCTGGATGAATGAGCCGTTTGAATGAGAATTACAACAAGCGTGTAGAGATTGTTGGAGTTGAGGGTGAAGCGGGCTAGACGAATGCCGGTTTTGGCGTCAAAGAGGTCATAGTAGTTGACATCATTAAGAAAGAGGGCGATCACTCCTGTATGTTGGATTTCAAGCTGTGGCAAGGAGGTTGTAACGGAGGGTCGGGGGCGCAGATGTCAATGATTATGTTGGATGGAAGGGCTGGACAAGGAACTGTGGAGGATCCATGGCATTGGATGGAGAAGCTAGAATCGGCTCCATGGAGTGGAGTGGAAGCCTGGTAGGGAGCGAATGCGGTTTGGTATTGAGCACTGTGTGGGTGCACCACATTCCACTATGAACTCGATCCCATGTGTGTTTGAAACACTGATGTACTATGATTCCTTCTCATTAATAGTACTAGCACCAGAGAACAACAAATTGAGGCGAACATCAGATGGGGCGCTAGCAAGTGCCTGAGCAGGTTCCTCTACTGCCCCGACCTCGTTCACATCGCAACAGGGAGGGGCCCAGTTGGGAGGACGCTTATTGGTAGAGACACCGTGGACGTCATACCACTCGTCATATCGCTTCTTGAAGCAAGTTGCCTCAAGGTGGTTGGTGCCTCCGCATTTCTGCTCTGCATGTGGACTGTTCCTAATAATGTAGGGGCATGGAGGAAATGAGTTGGGCTCCGGTCCCTGCTGGAAACGGAATGGAGGTACCAGCGGTATAGCGCACATCATTGACGGATGCGTGGGCTACAAGATTCTTTTCAGCCGAAAGAAGGGCCGAAGCGACTTCTCGAAGGTGAGTTCATTAGAGGGGAGCTGCTTGAGCATGGAACTGGTAACATTGTAAGCCGTGGTGAGTCCTAAAAATAACCCAGCTGCGGGTTCCTGTTCAGGGAAGGTGATCCCAATGTCCTTGAGTTCCTCATGGATGTTGCGAATTTCATATATATAGTTCGCATAAGAGCGCGGAGTCGGGATGTCAAGTGCATCCGGGTCTCCCTCAGGGGTAAGCAGTACGGACACGAGATGAGGTGAAGCAGCTGCTAGACACTGGAACTTCTCCTGCCTGTCGTCAAGGACGTCCGTGCCAAGGGCACACTCACCCCCGACGGACTGAGGACAGACAGACGCAGACTCAGCGACAAGACTAGCAGCGTAGTCTAGGCGACAGTGAGCAGCAAAGTCGACGAGCTCAGTAACGAGGGCAGACGCAGCAGAAGACTCGAAACAAGGGTCAGTGACGACAGTAGCAAGGAGACGCGTGACAGTAGGACTGGCAGCACGAAGAGAGTCCCGACTCTGGGTCGGCAAGAGCAGGAAGAGAGGACGCAGGAAGAGAAGTGGACGGATGTAGAGACATCTAGTGCATGCCAGAGACAGGAGGAGGACGCTGACGCGAACCGCGACCACTAGCGCGAGCAGTACGAACAGGCGACGCAGGACGAGACGCAGGCTCACGACGCTCAGTAAGACCTCCAGTAGGACCAGCGTAGGGAGAAGGAGCAGGCAAAGGGGAGGCAGGCTGGAGCTGTGACTGTGACGGGACTGGCTGTGGACACTCTAAGGGAGGAGGAGGACCAGTAGAAGGTGGAAGACCAAGAACCTGCTGCAGGAGTGGAACGAAGTACGGTCAAGGCCGCGTGGCGTCGCCAGAAACAGCAAGGACAGTACCAGTACCCCCAGCAGGAGCACCCGCTCCAGCAGCACCTCCAGCAGCTCCAGAACCTCCAGCACCCCCATGCGTAGCACCCCCAGGCTCAGCACCCCCAGGCTCAGTACCCCTAGGCTCCGCACCCTCAGGCCCAGCAACCCCAGGTTAAGCACCCCCAGGCAAAGCACCCCCAGGCCCAGTACCCCCAGTCTCAGCACCCCTAGGCTCAGCACCCTCAGCAGCACCAGAGTCACCAGTGACCTCGACAGGCTCGACCGCGTCTACCTGTGACACACCTGAAGGGGCAGGACCCTGAGGGGGGAGGGGGTCTACCAGGGGGGGACCTGGTACAAGGAAGAGTGGGGGCCGGGGGAGGGACGGAGTGCGGTAGGGGAAGAGGCGGTAGTAGGGGACCGACTCGTCGATCGTGACGTCCTGGGAGGACAGAACACGGCGAGAGGTGGGGTGGTAGAACTGCCACCCAGGCACGTCAGGGGGGGAACCCCAGGAAGACGCAAGGAGCAGTCGAGGGGACAGTTTGTCCGCAGACAAAGTCGCGGACAAACGCCCGAGATCCCCAGACCCGGAACGCCGACGCATCGCCAACCTTCCCTGTCCACAGCAGAGCGGGGGAGGTCTCCGCCCGTCCTGGTCGCGCGCCACTGCCTCGACCCGTCGACGCCTGTGCGCCGCCCGTCCCGGCCCCACGCCGCCCCTGTGCACCGCCCGTCCCCGCCGTGCGCCGCCGTCCCCGGCCCCACGCCGCCCGCCACGCCGCCGTCCCGGCCCCACGCTGCCCCGGCCTGTCGACACCCGTGCGCCACCCGTCCGGCCGCGCGCCGCTGCCCCAGCCCGTCGATGCCCGTGTGCCGCTCGTACCCGAACCCACGCCACCCTGTGCGCTGCTCGTCCCGGCCGCGCGCCGCCGTCCCCAGCCCCACGCCGACCGTGCGGGTACCCGCCCCAGCCCCCACGCTGCCTGTCCCGGCTCTTCGCCGCCCGTGCGCCGCCTATCCCGGCCCGTCACCTGCTGCAGCAGCCGAGCCGCAGGCGAGCTGCCGAGCAGCCCAGCAGCCGAACCGCAGCCGAACCGCCGAGCAGCCCAGCGGCCGATCCGCAGAGCAGCCGAGCCGCTGAGCAGCCCAGCATCCGAGCCGCCCTTCTTCCGAGCCGCCCGACCTGCTCAGTCTGGTGAGCACAGCCCCTTGTGTCACTGCACTGCCCTCCACCCTACTGTTTGCACTGCCGGTCGTCGAGGGTCATGGCTACTCCCAGCGTCCTCGCCTTTGACCCTGAGAGTAGGGGCCATCGACTTTGAGGTCTGGTTAGATGACCTGCATCTGTTCTTACAGTGCGATAGGGCAGACAGTCTCTCTCTCTTTGACCTCACCTCTGGCGCTGTCCCTGCCCCTGCTGCTGATGCTGACGCCACTGTTCGCTCCCAGTGGGCCAACGCGCGACGCTGCTGCACGTCTTGCTGTGCGACGCCACCCTCCCTACCTCTGAGCGTGCGCACTTTAGTCAGTACAAGAGTGCACAGACCTTGTACGACGCTGTAGTTGCGCGCTACTCCTCCCCTGCCACTGCTGCACTGAGCCGCCTCATGCTACCGTACCTCTTCCTTGACCTTGCTGCCTTTCCCACAGTTGCTGACCTCATTACGCACCTCCGCACTAGTGACGCTCGCTACCCCGCGCTGCACTACCTGCTGACTTCTGCGCCAAGAACCCCCCCCCCCCATGTACATCACCCTCTACTTCATAGTCAATTCGTCTCCCTGACTCCCTTCGCGTAGTCAGGGACCACTTTCTCTCAGTCTGTCCCACCACTCTCACTGTCGACCTCATCGAGTAGTCCCTCCTAGCGGCCAAGAAGGGCATAGTCGCTGTAGGGGCCTCTCGTGGTGACCCGCGCACTACCCCATCTTTGAGGGTGTTCCCCCTCCCCCCTTCTGCCCTCTGTTGCCTCTGCTGCTGCGGCCGACCTCCTTGGTCTTGAGTCGGTCGGTGCGGCGTCTGCCCCTAGCGGGAGACGCCGCTCTAGCAGGGGCAAGGGGGGCAGGGGCGCTGGAGGAGCGAGCGGGGGCAGTGGAGGTGGAGGTGGAGGCGGCGGGGGGAGTGGGGGTGGCGGTGGGGGTGGAGGTGGGGGTGGGGGTGTCGGTGACGGCTGTGGAGGCGGAGTTG